ATTATTATTATTATTATTATTATTATTATTATTACTATTATTATTATTTATTTAGACTTAAAAATTAATTTTAAGACTAAAGGGAGAAGGGGCTGAAGCACTAGCTGCTATGGCTATCGGCTCGGTCTACAATATATGTATATATATCTGTGGTCATAAGCACTAATCGTCTAAGTCCAAAAACCTGTATTCGAGAAAAAATGCTTTAAAGATTTGGATAGTTATGTTAACCTTATGAAGAAACCAAAATATTTTCTTCTATAACTTTTTAAATAGCCTAGCTAACGAGATGTGAGTTGCACATAAACATGGAATAGAAGTTGCATNAACCTTATGAAGAAACCAAAATATTTTCTTCTATAACTTTTTAAATAGCCTAGCTAACGAGATGTGAGTTGCACATAAACATGGAATAGAAGTTGCATAATACGATAGCATATATAACTCAATTCTTTCTTAAGTCGACTTAGGCGGTTTTTGCTTATGACCACAGATATATATATATATTAGGGTGGCCTTTTTGGGAATATTGTTTTTTTCACTCCTACCTCGAAATTTTTGTGATTTGCATTTTTTCTGTAGCTCTTGTTATTTAAAAAACGGCAAAAAATGGGAATTTCATGAAAATATTGAGTTTAGTGACCCGTACTAACTCGCTGGTGGAAGTTAGAGTTACGCCGCAATGGATTTTTTTGTCGAAAGTTCAATTTTGAAGAAAACCCATCATTGACCATGATTATACCATAAAATGCCTCCGAGCTATAGAATTTTTAAGAAAACCAATCAAAGTTTACGTGTATTTTATATGGGAAGTATTTGCGCCTGGGGCGAGTACTTAATGTTAATATTGAGCGTTCAAATTTTCAGGGAGTTTTTTAAGGTGTTTTCCAAAAAAGTTGCGAGGTAGGAGTGAAAAAGAAACAATAGTCGGAAAAAAGAACCCTAATATATATACTTATATATAAGATGAAGCTACATATAAGGTTTGAAGAAAAACGGTAGTGATCTGCACGTTGCAGGTCGGACAGAACAGTGCAAAATTTTCGTTGAACAAGTATTGTTGTTTGTAACAGGCAAAACGAATCGAGATAGATAAATCTATACATAAATGATCAGAATGAAAAGAGAAATCGATTAAGCGGTGACTGTCTGTCCGTCCGTCCGTCCGTCCGTCTGTGCACACGATAACTCGAGTAAAAATTGAGATATCTTAACGAAACTTTGTACGTGCACTTCTTTCGGGCGTAGGATGGATGGTATTGAAAATGGGCAAAATCGGACAATAACCACGCCAACCTCCCGTATAACGGCAATTTTCATAAATACGAAAACTGCGATATTTTAGTAACTACTGAAGATTATTCACTCAAAATTGATATTTACAATAATTTTTAGACGAAGTACAATTGTCTAGTTTGAAGTATATTTTACAGTTTCTGAAGTATAGTTGGCTAATCTGAAGTACATTTAACGATATCCGAAGTTCAATTGGAAAAGGTGTAGGTATCAACTTCGCCGGTAGGTATCATATCAAAACTCTAGAGCAGTGGTGTCCAACAGAGTTCGGACCTAGGGCTACTTTAAAACCATTGCTTTGCTTTGCGGGCACCGCCTTAATAAACTTCAATCTTAATTGATCCGTATGAAACCCTTTATTTATTAATAAAATTGGTACAGCTAGCTTAAATAAAGGAATGCACATAGATAACGAACATTCGTTGTATTGTGAAAACAACAATTTCCTCTTAATTGATAAAGCAGTGTTTCCATTATGATCCATAAATCGTTTTTTTGGAAAAAGAAAATACTGGTTCCATAGAGAACATTTCGTCACCTAAAATGTAAAAATCTGTAACTAACATGGTAAACTGAAATGCAAAAGGACGTAACTAACAAATAACTCAAAATTTTGATTCATTATGATGCATTTCATCGAATTAAAATTCCCCACATCGTTTGACGCAAAAACCACCTATTAGTTACGGATCCTTGCATTTGTATTCCTGCACCGTTTTTCGTATATCGATAGTAACTGAAGAACTTTTTGCACGTAATGCAATGGATTGTACCCCGCCAGAATTTTCGAGTTCAAAAGAAGAGCAAACGACGGGAAAAGCTGACAGTTTTTCTCTGCCGACAGCCCTTTCATATGCCGATTTTCCCCACAAACGGTGAGATTGCAGTCATAATTTCTGAAAACCCTAATTGAGATTGTTTAGTTTTTTCAATTAATAATAATAGATTGGCGCTTAGTGTTTGGCCGAGCTTCTCCTCCAGTTTGTGGCGTGCGCCTTGAATTTTTCACACAAAGGGGACTCCGAACGACGTTTGTATTTTTATGAGAATATGTGTTTCAATTATATAATTTAAAAATGCCAAGTCGGAGAGCCTTATCTACATGGTCAGTGGGAATTTCTTCATTAATATCTTTGAAAATCTTTTTTATCTTATATTATTTACAGTTGGCTATTATATTTTTGAGTTGCAGCTTTATCATTTCCAATTGACGCTTTTCAATTCACTTTCGCATTTAAAATTTACGATTCTCATTTTCAATTGCTACTTTCGCAATTACAACCGGAAATGGCGTAGTTCGGTACAGAGTATTTTTCTGTCCATCTTTTTGTTTGGGGCACCTAAAATACAGGTCGCGAGCTACTAGGCGCCCGCGAACTACCGATTGGACAGCACTGCTCTAGAGGTAGATGTCGGTTGCGCCCAAAACTATGCTCTCCATACGTTATGGCGGAAATGGACGACACCCCATTTCTTTAAATCATAGGTGGGCAATTATTACTCGCGAGCAACGCCAGCGCCGTAGTTCGTTTACGTATCATGGTCAGCGTTGCCGAAAGCTTTCGCTGGATAATCGTCACTTTACCCTAAAAAAATCGTCATTTCGGCCAAAAAATCGTCAAAGTTTTTTTTTACTGCATTTTTTTAACAATTAAGAAATTGCATACAATACATAACATAAAAACTAAGCAATTGCGTTCTCTTAAAATTGCATACCTTTAACTTAAATTTATTTGAAACAAGTAAGAAAGTCTAAGTTCGGGCGGAGCCGAACATTAAATACCCGGCGCAAGTATTAAATGTATGTTTTTCACCTTTCCGAAAGCTACGGCTACATGGTAAACCGGGGTGTATCCATTTTGAGTAAATTAGCGTGCTTCAATTTCGAAATATTGAAGTTTCAAGCATTTCTGAAATTAACTATTATATGAAAACNATACCCGGCGCAAGTATTAAATGTATGTTTTTCACCTTTCCGAAAGCTACGGCTACATGGTAAACCGGGGTGTATCCATTTTGAGTAAATTAGCGTGCTTCAATTTCGAAATATTGAAGTTTCAAGCATTTCTGAAATTAACTATTATATGAAAACCGGCCGTAATTTTAGCTCGATTTCAATAATTTTCAACGTTTTGCTTCTATGTGGCAAGCACAATAACCACACCGAGTTTGGTACAAATTGGTGGAACGGTCACCGAGATACATATATGTGATCATAAGTGGGCGGTGCCACGCCCATTTTTCAAAATTTTATCCTTAACGTATTTCTTGGTAAAGAATTCTTGCAAGCATCAATTTTGAATAAATTAGCTTCAATAATTACTGATTTATCGAAGATTTCGCATTTCTCTAAACTACCGTTATATGGGATGTGGGCGTGGTTATTGTCCGATTTTTAAAATTTTCGGCAGTTTCGTATGCTATACCAAGGTTAACAACTGTGCAAAGCTTGGAAGAAATCGGTGCATAAGTGAGCGTGGCTTCGCCCATTTTCCAAAAATGTATAATATTCTTATTTTTCGTCTAAAAATTATTGTAAATATCAATTTTGAGTGAATTATCTTCAGTAGTTACTAAAATATCGCAGTTTTCGTATTTCTGAATATTACCGTTATATGGGAGGTAGGCGGGGTTACAGTCCGATTTTGCCAATTTTCAATACCGTGGTATGTT